AATGAAAGCACCTCTAGTGACCACTGCCTGGACAGACGGCAATGTCGCTTTCGTTGTCAGAATTAATGTCAACAATAGTCAGATGAAATCGTTAACTCCAAGTAAGAGCAGCACACGCGTGCGAAAGATATCGTAATCGCACAGTTGAGCTGAGCTTATTTGGCCTTAAACACTAGATAAATAGTAATAAATCTTATTATAAAAACAATCAATTGATTAATAGAGATAGATGTAGACATATCATCAAACTATCAACAAACATCCGTTAAGAAATTAATTTAGTAACATTTTAAATTATTATTCACAGTTCTTATCAATTTGGTCATCTCAGTGTCTGCGTTTTGCCGGTGACCTAACGGTAATTACTTATAATAATGCGCGCTGTAATTATAAGTTTTCCCGTATAACCTAAGATAATTTGTCGAATTTTACTTTTAATGCCGAGTCATGACACTGTACACCAAATTATTTCAACCATTTGCATTTGTCTGTTGTAACACAAAATTGTTTGTGCGAGCACAAAAGCATAGGTAGTACAACAATATTAAACTCTGTCTCAAAATCATTAGTTTGTATATTTATGTAATTGAATGTTGTTTTTTTTTAGAAATTGTTTATAATATTATAATTAATAATTCAACCTTATACAAGTGTTTAGCAAGTGTTTATTATTTATTTTTCAACCATTACTTTGTCACCTCTGATTCTTTTTGCTAATTTGAGATCTTTCGGTTGTATTGTTACTCGCTTCGCATGTATCGCACAGAGATTTGCGTCTTCTAATAGACCAACTAAATACGCCTCCGCCGCCTCCTGCAATGCACCCAACGCGGCCGATTGACATCTCAGGTCTGCTTTAAAATCCTGAATGATTTCTCTAACAAGTCGTTGGAAAGATAATTTAGGAATTAAGAGTTCTGTTGTTTTTTGGTACTTTCTTATATCTTTTAACGCTTAGAAAGTGCAAATTGACCGTGAAAGAGCACTACGTCGTACTTGTTATAGTCAATGCGGTTAACAATTTGCATAAATAAATAAGCCATCGGTTGGTTCGGATCAATATCTTGCTCCCAAACTTCGATCAAATCATCACCACTATTCGTCACAAGTATAGTGATTTTGTAAATCTCTTCTTTTTTTGATGAAGAGGCCTGGCTTTCCATAGGGACCAGTGTTTCAATTTGTCCATCATTCTTCAAACAATACAGATCAGTTTGAGTTCCTTTTTCTTGAGTAGGCTTAAGGATAACCCTATCCATACAAAATAAATTTGAGTTATAACTGAAATAGAGAAAACATGATCTAATTTGATGCATAAATAAGTAATAGTTTATTAATTTATAATTTAAATCTTAATATAATTAAAAGATAAATATGATTATATGCTATAATAATACAGTTTTATACTGTGATTTACAAATTGCAAAAAAAAGCCATTAGTAGGAATATAGTGCAATAAGGTTCAATTAATTACTTCGAAATAATCTCGGTAAGATCTGGCAGATCAATAGTCCACTTGTCGATTAGTTCCACTTTTATTTCATCTCCAGCCTTCATCTCTAATCCCAAAGCAGTATCAGTCAAGTCGATCTCTTTATTTTTAAACGTAAAACTGGTCCGGTACATAACATGATCGATCCGTTTAATGACTTTGTTCACCAATCTAGCCATCGGGTCACTCGGTCTAACGAGAAATGACCATTGATTAAGCAGTACGTCACGCTTCTGCACAATAACTTCAATCGACAACTCTTTGTAAAACACGTATGACTTTCTCTTCTTTGCTTCACTAGATGAACCCGAAGCGAGTGCTTCTGGGGCCGGAGTTTGAGTTTCGGCGTTAATTCCGTTAGACATAATTCTAAATTAATCCAAACAGAACATAACATTTCGTTATTTAAATTTTACATAAAATAATAACATTAACTTTTATTACTTACTATTCAATTATGAAGACGTGATCATATTCATTTTGCGTTAGTGAAAATCTCGATTTTGCATAACATTTTTAAAACTTGAAGTCGCTATAAATCGAAATTACTGTTGAAAACGATACAAATATATACTTTTATATGAGTTTTACCGCTGGCCTAATTATTTCCGGACGTCAAAATTAACTTTAACCACAAACACATACCAAATGGTTTCATTCCCGAATTCGGGTAAAATTCCCATTTTTTGGGTAGCAATACATGACAATATAAAATCAAAAATTTTATTTTTGGTAAATTTTTCGAAATTTTTTTGGCCTATCATAAAGCCCAACTCTTACAACTATTCAAAAAAAATTATGAACCGGATGCGGTGACTCTAAGGCCCCCAAAAGCCCTATTCTTGGCAATGGTAAATTATATTAAAATAATAGAATATTCTCTAAATTTTTACTAATTATAAGTTTTTAGTGACTTAAATTATTTTTAATAAATAGCATTAGTTTTAACTACTCAAATAAACCATCGGTAGTCGATTTCCGGCTATCTGTTAGCAATAAATAAATTTTTAAAACACAATACATAAAATTTAAAAGTTTGTAAAAATCATAGATTTTTAAGAAATTTTCCAATTATTACTTTCCAAATGGGTCTACAATAGATTGAACAGAACTATATGATAGTATACTATCATATATGACCGGCGGCGGCCACTAAAACATCATAAAATTTAAGTATTTACTACTTAAAACTCATTTAAAAAGTGTTATACTAATGTAAAAAACGAAAGTATAGTTATGTTTTTCAATTTTCTAGCGATTTATTTTGAGGTAACGGCTAAATTATAATGAATGAAATAACAATTAGTAATAGTTAATACTAATTAAATGATAATAAGCAATATAATACCTTCTATTAGCTAATTATAGCAATTTTGTGGAGAAAATATCGATATTTATCTAAATGAATATAATGAAAAATACACTTTCATTAGAGGATATGCATATAAATAGCTAAATACAATTTAGTGACAATTAACCAGCTTCCCGTCAGACCAATTTAACGTCCGCTAAACTATTAAATTATGTGTATTATAATGTAATAAATGTGAGAAAAATTGTTTGTGAAATAAACACTTTTTATTTCCAACTTTTTTGTGGTTAAAATGCATAATTTGCCACAAAAGTAAACGTTATCCTGTCTCCCATTAACGGATGATAAATGCCATATATGGCATATACTGTCATTATTATTTACGCATCTCTATTTGACGTAAATGACAAAATAGCGAATTTTTGTGTTATATTATAAAATGTATTTTTAGTGCATTTAAAGCAATTAATGTCAATAATATAAACATTGGATAAAATATAAGAGTAAAACTGGTCTATACAATGGTCAATGGTATAAGCGGAATAGCATAAGTGTGAGTAAAACTATATTTTACATAATTTGTATGAATAATTGGCTAATGTTATGCAATATTCAGTGTCCAGTGATAGGCTATATAAGTGGTCAAACCGTATGAATACTCACTTACGAATGAAAATTATTATCGAAAATCAATATCCGGTCGGTACTGAAGTGAATAAACGACTATAAATCACAAAAACAACACTTATTTTAATATAAATTAATTTTATATTAATTTTTAAAATTATTTTAAAATTTGTTTTGTGCCGCTTCCGGTTATGCTGTGTGCCTGTAACGTTCACAATCAATATAGTATAGTAGTTAAAACTGATTACTGTTAAAATTTTTATAAAAATCTATGTATTTTTTGAAATTTTGAGTTTTTTTCAATTGTTTAAAATTATTTTAAAATTCGTTTAAAACCGTTTCCGGTCATTCAAATTCACTGTAATTTTAAGTATTTAATTTATTAATTCTATTCTATTGATTGCCTAACTAATATTATATAATTTTACAACTTTTTGTGAAATTTATTTTTTAATTATATTGTCAGACTATCAAATAGGGTTTATCGTGAATATTTTTCTAAATTATTTTTATGTTTAATATTATTAATTTTCTCATTTGTAAACTATATTATTAAGCATTTATTGTCGCTTAGAAGCTGTAACGTGATTGTATTGATTTTAATTATTGTTTATTGTATTCGGTATTATTTAATGGGGTTAACTTTTAAGCGTTCCCATCCAGGACGCCGCCGACTTGTACCACGACTCGAACGACTTGACATTAATGCCTTACCTTCGACCAGCACTTGTCAGCCCAGTATAAGTGTAGGTAAACCTAGAGGTGCTGCACTGAGAAAGGCATATTTAACTAAACGAAGGGTACAGCGAACCCATATTACCATTCCTGAGCCTAGACAGACAACATCTCAGTCTCGATCAAATGACACATCTAATCCTAAGAAAGTTAGCCCAGGGGTTATTCGCAATTTTCTATATTCTTTCATGGTTTTTTGTTGTCTTGAGAATTAAGGATTTAATAGAAAGGTTGCTGAACAATCTCTTTAGTAAGTCCTAAAATTTCGTCTGGACTCTACAGTTAGCCGGCGTTTGGGTGCGCTGCAGGAGGCGGCCGAAGGGTATTTAGTTGGTCTATTAGAAGACGCAAATCTCTGTGCGATACATGCGAAGCGAGTAACAATACAACCGAAAGATCTTAAATTAGCAAAGAGAATCAGAGGTGACAAAGTTATGGTTGAAAAGTAAATAATAAACAATTGTTATGTATAAGGTTGAATTATTAATTACAATATTATAAACAATTTCTGAAAATAAAAAAATATTCAATTACATAAATATACAAACTAATGATATTGAGACAGAGTTTAATATTGTTGTACTACTTATGCTTTTGTGCTCGCACAAACAATTTCGTGTTACAACAGACAAATGCAAATGGTTGAGATAATTTGGTGTACAGTGTCATGACTCGGCATTACAAGTAAAATTCGACAAATTATCTTAGGTTATACGGGAAAACTTATAATTACAGCGCGCATTATTATAAGTAATTACCGTTAGGTTACCGGCAAAACGCAGACACTGAGATAACGAAATTAATAGGAACCGTGAATAATAATTTAAAATGTTACTAAATTAATTTCTGAACGGATGTTTGTTGACTGTTTGATAGTTTGATGATATGTCTACATCTATCTCTATTAATCAATTGATTGTTTTTATAATAAGATTTATTATTATTTATCTAGTGTTTAAGGCCAAATAAGCTCAGCTCAACTGTGCGATTACGGTACCTTTCGCACGCGTGTGCTGCTCTTACTTGGAGTTAACGATTTCATCTGACTATTGTTGACATTAATTCTGACAACGAAAGCGACATTGCCGTCTGTCCAGGCAGTGGTCACTAGAGGTGCTTTCATTAACAAAATTTATAAAGCGTAATTAATTAAAAGTTATACAAATGATTTTTCATTAAATGTAGTATATTCAAGGGTTCTCTCACAAGACAATATGCCCAAGACTGTGTGTCTTGACGGCTCACTAGCTTCCGGTAAAACGACATTTTTAAAATGTCTGGAAAACTTTAATGAAACAAAATTCAAAACGTTTGACTTACATGAGGAACCGTTATCCAAATGGTCAAACATAGGCGGTGAAAATCTCTTTAAATTATATTATTCAGACCCGAAACGTTATGCATATACATTTCAATCGTATGTTTTGAACACTATGTATAGAAACCATGCACTAAATAACAACACAAACAAAACAAAAGTGATTGACCGATCAATACATTCTGCATTTCACGTGTTTACAAAAGCTTTAAAATGCAATGATAGTATCAGTAACTTAGAATTCACTCTCTTAAACGAATTATATCAAAGTTTTATATCTACTGGACAATGTATTGTTAATCAAATAATTTATTTTCAAGCTCCTCCCCATATATTGTTAGAGAGAATTGTTAAGCGAGCTAGACCAGGGGAAGAGAATATAACTCTTGAATATTTGAGTCTCATTGAAATGCAATATGATCAGTGGATTGATTCGATGTCACATATTCCAATCATAAAAATCCGAACAGATGGCTTATATGAAGACTCAATGAGGACATTTCATAACACAATTCACAAAATAATTTAGACCCTCAAAATATATTAATTATTTGTCCATACCTTACTAAAAACACATAAAATCATAACAAAATCAATATCTCATACCTACACTATACCTCAATAAATAATTATTTAATACACATAACAAACTGTTACACTAGTTCGACATTACGGGTATACACACGACGACTGAACACATAATTATGATGGGCGATCGTATTCACACAAACACAATTCGACACACATGCAATGCTCTCAGACTCGGAGACATTACACAATCAGTTCATTATCTGGACTGGTTGACTAAATTCGACCACAGCGACACACTTCAGACTGATATACGTGGCAGTAAATTGTGCACTACTCAGACAAAACTAATTACATCTTGGGCAATCATCACATCAGTCCAATCAACGGTGAACACCATAAAAATAATCAAGGGACGTCTATATGTTGGCTACCAATGTGGCTCGGTGGAGGCGTATAAAGTGCCTGAACACGACCTTCTCTTCACCCTTCAGTTTGACCACCCAATCGTATCGATACATTCAAACTTTTTTTTGGAAGGATCCCCGTCACTGAACGGTGACCACAATACTAAATGCGAAAATGACATTTATTTGTACATTGTGACCAAACATTCATTTCACCAAGTTGATTTGTCTACTCTAAATGAGAATGTAACACAAGTAATGACAACGGTTCTCGACTTCAAGGAAGAAGAAATTATGGGCGTTTTTGACATCAGACTAGGAATGATAATTATCGACGCAAACTTTGGTGTACATGAAGTCAGATCACGCATTGGAGGTATATCCGGTTACACTATCGAAAACAACTCATTTCCAATCACACAAGTTGTCTCTTTAAACTGTGATGATATGGTCGCAAACAACCGATATCACTCGTTCTTTGCACTGGCTTACAGAAATTACTTCGCTATCATACGATTCCACCTTATTGGACATGAATGGGAAACCCGAACGATTTTAAAGCGTAAATTTGCGTCACCATTTGGCGAAATAAATATCACCTCGTCGCCAAAATACATATTTGTTTCCGGAAACGAGACTAGTCCTTATGGCCACATCATTGTTAGAGTATTGATTCTCCGACCAAATCGTTTAATTCCCGTGGACGAAAGTATCATTTTATCATCAAGTGGCCCCATAAGACGACTTGAAGTTCAA